TAAACAAAGTGGTGTCTGTAAACAGCCACCATGCATTGGATGTCAGGATGATTTAGCGGTCGAATAATATTGATGCCAATGATTTTGCAATAGAAATACCCATTATCGTATATCGCTAAACATCCATCATACATTCTTAGGGATTTTGGGAGTGTAGCGGTCGAACGGTATTTTATGTTGATGATGAAATGAGATGATATTGGAATGAAATGCGTTATCTAGAATAGGATTTAAGTGATTTCTATGTTCCTACGCATATCGTAATTATCGGTCCTTATCGGCCCTTATCACTTTCTGTCCCCAGAAACATGTTCCCGTCCCACCCCCTATATCATATCAAAGGGACAGCGCCTGAATGCTGCTGCGACGCGCACTATGAATTTCGTGACACTTGCGTTTAGCGCCTCTTATCGATCTTATCAGCCGTTATCACCTTCTGTCCCCCACCAAATATGTTCCCGTCCCACCCCTATATCATATCTAAAAACAGTCCTCACGTGCTGCTGGACGCGCGCTATGAATTTCGTGACCCTTGCGTTCTAGCGCCCCTTATCGAATCTTATCAGCTGTTATCACCTTTTGTCCCGGCCGGCCCCCTATATCATGCCTTGGAATCAACTTCTGATGAGTGCTGGTCCGCGTGCAATGAATTTCGTGACACACACACGGACAGACAGACAGACTTAGCGCTTTATATATAGTAGGGATATCGACCAAAAATTCTCTTATTAGACCCTTTCAATGCTCAACATTGAGAAAAGGGTGCAATTTCGTTCGCACATGGAAATTTATTTTTATGTTGAGTGTCCTCGTAGCTGCGAATTTTGAGAAAGCTTCCAAACAGGACGGGGATTCTTTCAATTGGCAGCTGAGCTTCATTAGTGCTTTCTTGGAGTTAAAACGAATTTTCAGGAGAGCTATAGAAACAACTTCGTCAAATCATCGAGTTCAATCAATAGCGTGCCATACGAATACGGTAGCGATATGCACTACCAAAGCAACGCGTCAGTGACTCATTCCTTTAATAACATTGCTTCTTTTCTTCTCCGAGTTAGCCCTTCTCATCAGGTAAATGACCTATATACTTTTGTTTTTCTATATTCAGCTTTTCGACAAGTGGTAATTCATTGAAACCTGCCCAGCCGAGGTTTCAACGCACTATGGGTTCGAGAACAATCTCATTTTATGACATCAGAATGATAAATAACTTTAACAAATGCCACGGTGAGAATTTTTGAAAGCATTCAGTATTCCAGACACGTGAACGCAGAGCTCCCGATTAACTTCGTGTGGCAACTCTGGATAACTATAAAAGTCATACTGTGAAGTATCCGTGACCACCATCTGAGCAAAAGAGAATGAACTGTCGAGAACACTTGAAGAATCCTGTTTTCAGTGTGAAAGGACCGAGAAGGGCACCGCGAGAAAAGAGATAATGGTGCTGAGGCAGTAGCAGCGCGATTGTACCAGCGCGCCTGACAACGCTATTCTCAGAGCACCTTTTGCCTCGTATTGCGCCGTCTACGCCCCTGCTCTTCCAGTTTATTGAAGGCACGCTCCGGGACTAAGCAAGTTCACCTGTTCCATACCCGGGCGTAGTAGACAAGCTGACAAGCGTTGATGTTGCGTCCCTTTTGCGGCTTGAAAGTGCGCGACAAAGGCATGGGAAGCTCGTTCGACCGCTCCTTCGTCCGCAAGTCGCCGTTTTCGCTGTCGTGTTGCAACGTAAACGCCGCTTGAAAGAGCGCGTCCAGTGCCTCGTTGGTGGTTCAACGCTCATTACGACACTGGAGCAACTGCAGCTAGGTTCGTTTTTCCAGCATGCCCCCTCTCTATTCCAATGCGGAATGCGGCTGGAATGAAGGGTCCTTATTCAGGAAGTTGTCGGGGCTTTTCTTCCTTTCTTTTTTCCACACCATTCCTCCACTGCAGCCTCATGCGCGGCGCTCTTCCACACCTTTTGTCCCGAAGCTTGCCTTAAACAAAATTGTTCACCTGATCTAGGGGAACTCCTTCAATCATGGGGTCAAGAAAACCCACAGAAGTGAAAACGTTAAAGGACGAATTCACGATCAGAGGGAAAATCGAATTAGGAAGAATTCACCTGGTTGAGGGACCCGCGGAGCTCCTAAGTGTGCGAACTGAAGCACAATTTGCACAGGAGGAGTTGACCTCGTTGACCTATTAAGGTTTAATCCCGCCGCGGCTGGTCAGTGCACGCCCAGTCGTATAAAGATCGAGAGCCCAACACATTGAGCAGGCGGTTGGGGTGTGGGTAAGAAGGAGATTCAGTGCGCAGAGAAGCTAGAATACGCCACAGAGCACGCCGGCAGATACAGATAAGCAGCTGCTGCGGCCGCCTCCACGCGAGCGCCGTCAGGAGGAAGGGGGAGGGTTGGAGGGGGGATTGTTAAGATCCAAGCGGCCATCGTCGCAAGCGACAACGCATTTGCTACGCTCGAGGGCCATCATCCTACCCCAGAAAAGAGATCTGTTAAAACGGTCTTCATTCGGTTGCTGCCCTTTGAATTTTTTATATATTATACGATGTATGCGGCGGAAGTGGTGTAGTGGCAAGTGGCACGCTTACCACGCGAGCGGTCCGGGGATCAAATCCTGGGTCGTGAGTCGCCCGGGCCAACCAAGCCTTCCATCCCTCCGGGGTCGGTTAATTGGTACCAGACTTGTCTGGGAGGACTTGTATATCGTGCCCGCAAGTCATTGTATAGGCCACATCGCATTCAAATGCCACTACGAATGTACAAATGGAAGTAGAATGCGTGCCGCATCCCAAAAAGGGATTGATCAACGGCAAATGCTTTATCCTTTTTATCCTTTTATTGTATAACTTGCGGATTGCAGCAAACAGACTTCAATGTTTCAGGATTTTGTAGCAATAGAAGCTACATTAGCAGGGTGTATGAGAATTCTTAATTCAAGCCTCTAAATTCAGATATAGCGTCTGCGCTAATCTACCCATGGTTCGTTGCGAACCGCATCAAATGATTTTTAAGCAACAATCCCAGCAGGGTTCTGAACACTTGATGCTAATGGGGTGTGGAGAAGCACTGGCCCTAGGTTAACACATACGAAGTGGAACGGATCAAAAACGCACCTTGGGAAGCCAGAGAAAGGGCGACAGATGGGAGCGCGCATGGGGCGGGACTTCGGACGTAGGAGGCACCGGCCGCCCTAATGTACTTTGCGAAGGGCAAAGGGGTGGTCCCTGTTCTGAAGCTTGTTCGAAAGGGTTCTTCGATTTTTTCTTCGCCATCGGTCAAGTTTTCACCTACTCCATTATCAAAAATTTCACCCTACGAATTCCTTCTAAAAGTATTGCTGTGAGCTTTCAAGGAAAGCAGTGAGCGAGACTGTCGCTTGCTGCCGACCAGACAGGTATCGCCAAGAATGGGGAGTGCACTGTCGCCGACCTGCGAACACGTGCCCAATAATTCAACTTTAGCTTTTTGTTGGGTGCTTACATATTTCCTTAGCTGGTATCCCTACCATATCAGCGTTTCACTCCGTTTTCAGTGAGAAAGATTAAAATACCACACAAATACAGGGGTTCCATTTAAAATAGGCAACACATTTTTGTCTGAGCTCCAATTGGGGGATGTTCGAATAGCCTTATTTCCCAATGTTGGCATACCGGTCGACTTCTTGGAAACATCTATGGAATAACCGTGGCCGAATTGCCAACGGCTGTATCATTCGTTGTACATCCAAGGTGCACCTGAAACACCGTAGAGGTCCTAATCTCTCATACAGCGAAGTCGGATATCCAGTGATGAACATTGCGTCTTGGATTTTCAACCGCTCCGCGGTCTACCGTGTACCGAAGAAAAGACTACTCAAAGTAGTCTTTGTTGCGACCGCCTCACAAAATTCTGACTTCTTGGACCTCAGGAAAAGCATGAACAAGCGAAACGACTGCAATGGCTGGGTTGACTCGAGAAAGGTGATCAGAACGCTGGAATTCCCGAAAACAATCATGGAGACAGTTGTTAGATAACAACTGCTCACAGTCCATTATAAGTTGCATAAGCACCACTGCTCAATCCAACGGGAGGAGCACAGCAGAGACAAAAAGTTCAAAGAGCTGGTGTCGAGGGCCGAAAATTGGCCATTACGCGGGCACCGTTTTCATCGACGGCAAAACTCCCCAGATTTGAGCGAAGCTTCAATTTTCAATTCTTGAGGGCTCGAGGAAGCCAGTAAGTATTGAGGAAATATTTGCCACAAGCAGCAATCTTTATCACGATTTGGGCATGGGTATTAATCATCGGTCGCTCACCACAACTGTCTGTTGAAAAGCGAGGGAAAGTTGATATTGACCTAGGTAACGAATGCTCCAGTGCACCATCCGTTACTAATTTATCTAGCCTTGGGCGAAGAGAATACGCTATTTCGAAGGAGAGCAGTCTTCTGCGATGAGGGCGCTTTCAGCTCGTGCAAAATTGTTTAGGACTGTCTCGTGATACTGTTCCCGATTTCACATCCTCAAAGGAATGGCTCTCATATCTCTCGATTTCAACCTGCTGGACCATCCTATTTGGGCTATATTAGAGGACAGAGCCTGCACTAAACAATGCATCCAAATAGAGGAGCTGAAGCCTTTTCTCTAGAAAGTTACGAAGAAGGCACTGCAGGATGCCATGCGGGAAACACTAGAGTTGTGTTCGAAGCAACTGGAGCCATACTGACAGCGACAGGAGGGACTTATCGAATAAATGTCATTCCTTTCAACATCTTAATGACTGGCTAAGAATTGTGTGTGACCACTTGAAGATATGTCCACTTTGAGAGAAGTTACAAGTTAAGAAATGTGTTGCAATATTTATTCAACACCCTGTAATTCACAAAGCTTGACAACTGTGATCCAGAGGCAGCAGCTCACACCAACGGCTTTCTTCAAATGCCCTGATAAGCCATGTCCGCAATAAGGACTTACTAAATAGTCATTGTTTCAGCAAGCTTGTGCTGGTATTGGAGCTACTGGCAAATGCAAGAACGCCGGGTATCCAAATCCGAAAAATTGCAAAGTATGCATTTGCCCCGCTGGCTATGGTGGCGCCTACTGTGCACAGAGAGTGAGTGCTCCAGTTGTTAGGAAAAACCTCAAGTGTTGCTTGATGGAAGAAGATAGAAATATTTTAAAAAATTATTTAGCCAGCAGGATGCGGTGCGACTCTGACAGCGTTCAAGGCTTGGAAGTCAAGAAATATCACCATTGGCAATGCCACGATAACCACCGTACGTGATACCTACACGACGTGCAGCGACTGGATCACGGTACTCATTTCAACCACCAATTATTTTTTGGAAGCAGTCTTAAACAAGATTATTTCTAGGCTCCAGCAGGCAAAACTGTCCAGTTTCGGATAACAGCCTTGAAAGGTGTACAATGCGGTAATGGCTGCTCGTACAGTTCGATTGAACCGAGGATTCTGGCAGACAAGGCCATGACGAGTCCAAGGTGACAATTTATGAAAAAAATCAGGTGCTATCGCAACATGGAATACATTTGAAACCGTTTCAAACATAACCCTGTTCACTAATACTATGAACTAATCCCTAGGCGGGAGGAGTAAGTCCAAGCAGCGTGAGCAATTGTCATTTTTCTAGACCTTCTTCCTGAGTTTTGCTCTAGAGAATGCTCTCGTATATTGCGACCAGTTGGCGCTGCGCGCACAACACAGTTCTGTAGCGACATGGGATGGTGCGTCGTAAGCTCTCATATATGGCTCGATACACTACGAATATTTGAAATGAGCTAGATTCTATCCGTTCCATCGCCGATAGCTTTTGACCTCTCCTCAGTCGTCGATTATTACGACCGATTTATAAATCTAGTCGTAAACTCGCCCATTTCGGTGCATGTCTCATCCATCTATCTTATTCTTCCTTGCCAATCTCTTCCACGTTTTCCCGGTCTCTGAACTGTGTGGGAGCGATCCATATGCTTGGCGGCAAACTTCGCTCGCTTTGATGCACGCTCCGCCCACCATTAAACAATGACTTCCTTTCCCTTGCCAACCTCTATCCACCTTTTCCCTGATCTCAAGAACTCCTGGAACCATTTGCAGTTCGTGAGAACCCGTCCACTTTGCGTGTACTCGCTCATTAAGATATGATCGTCTTGTGCGCTCATCTTCGACAGTAAAGTGTTTGGGGAAAGTTCGACATCCGTGATGAACGAATGCTCGAAGCACAAAGTGAAAGAGGAAGCTCGGAAATATACGCATCAATGTTAACCAGTTTCATTTGCTCTACTGTTTGACCTGCTTGTTTAAGCGCTGCAGTCTGCGATTAATGCTGAACTGTGGGTAAAAACGAGTCGAAACTGATTGAATTGTTTCGAAAACTTTTGGGGTGCTTTTAAAGAGACTATTATGGAATAAAGCTTGGATTCAAGTACATAGAGCCAATTGGTTTGAAAGGTTCAGATTGAGAAGCAGATCCAATGATTTAATTTATTTCGCACATGCTCCTGAATATACAAAACTTCCCATATTTCAGAATCTGCTGCCTCGAACAGTTGAATACGATTCTGGCAAGTAACCACAATCCAGCTCCAATCGTCGCACATATTCGTATTATCTTCAGTCTACATTCACGGGCAGTGGGCTGGCAGGCATAGCGCTAGTACAGATACATCTGATCACTCACTTCTATCACATATTCGTGGAAATAAAAGAGATTTTAAAATCACGTACATCTCGTTCCACTTTCGAGATCTTGTTGCGCGTGATTGGGCCGTCGTTGACAGTGGTGTAGCCGACTGGAGGGCCGTCGCGCGGCAAGAGGGCGCTGCGAGCGTCGGCGAGTGCGGCGTCGCTTTGCGTAGTACTTTGCAGCACAATTTGAATAAATGCATCCACTCGACATCTATTCGCACCACGCGCCTACCGGGCTCTCGTCCGTTGATGCCCATGTTTGAACCATGCTTATCTCCTGCCGCGCGGCGGGTCTCCCGGTCGATTACCCATCTGACAGACGCTCCCATGAAGCAACATTGAGCAGTGACAATGGCACGAAAGCCCAACTGAAATCATAATACAACACAGATTCTCCTATCCGAAACTAATGAATAATGAATACGCGAAGACACTGAAGAAAAAGACTAAATAATGTCCGGACCTCCAATTCTAGAAAAAGCAGCAAAACAAAATGACCAATTAACATTGGAAAACGAACCCTGGCCTCGCCAGACAGTGCCGAATAGCATCCTCTTGACGTAGTAACCCAGATCTGCATGCGTATCATATTCGTGCTGGAGTCTGCTCCGTATTACAACAAGCTCTGTAGCTATTTTTTGGAGAATCGGCTCGGCAGATAGGGAATAGGGCATCCCCTTTCAAGCGTCCACTTCGACCTAGCATTCTTCCCTTGTGAGCGCTCCTTCCGCTCACCTACGTTTTACCCTTGGCGACGCACCCTTTGCTCATTTGGCGACGCACTCTATGCTCAGCGCTCATCATATCACCTGTATCACCTGTCGTCCCGTTGATCATCGAATTGCTCGAGCGGGCGCCAGCAACGTCTCCATTCGTCCCTGTCGCGTGCTAGGAGTGGTCCAGTGGATCCTCCTTGCTCGAGGGACACGAAGTCCATCATTCCTTTCGTTCAGAGCTTTCGTGAAGAAGTCTGACCATCGGGCCGGCGGTCGTCCAGGTGTTCGTTTGACGTCCCGAGGGATCCAGTCGGTAACCGCTCTGGTCCAACGGTCATCGCAAAATCGCATGACGTGTCGGCGAGCGCCGCCTCATACTATGGCGATAACCGACATCCGTTCCTGATGTTGTTCGGGCACACTGCGGAAATTCCTCGTCCTTACACTCCGCGTATGCTATACGAAGTTATACAGAGTCCAAGTCTCTGAGGCGTAGGTTAGGGCAGGAAGGACAGCGGAATCGAAGAGGTGGGCACGGAGCCGGATGTTCTTCGTCTTCTTCACTACTCCCTCGATGTTCTTATACGCTCCCCAAGCCGCTCGTTTCCTCCTGCTCAGCTCTGGAGCTAGATCGTTCATCATATTGATTTCCCGACCTAGGTACACGTACGGAAGGCAATTCGGTGATGTTCGTTCCGTTGAGCGTGAATGGGGCATCAGGAACCAATCCGTTTCTCATAAACATCGTCTTCGTTAGGTTCAGCTAGACCGACCTTACCACAGGCGCAGTCGAAATCAGCCAGCATTCGCTCCGCTTGCTCGATGTTCGGCGTTATAAGAACGATGTCGTCAGCAAAACGAAGGTGGTGTAGTTGCCGGCGCGCCGTTGATCTCGACTGCCCCAGGTTCCTTCCCATTCCCAGTTGCACGGGCAACTGACGGGACCAATGACCATCACAGCAAAATAAAAATCAGTTTCTCGATTCCTAACTAAGGCAAATACTTCACGATTGGCCAAAAATGCTAAGTCTCATGTGTCCGACCCGCGCAGAAAAGTTTACGAAGTAGCTGGCTCGTGCATTGTGAGGTGCGCCATCTTTTTGTCAGTCCTTCGTTATGAAGTGTCTTCCAGCCCTGGTTGCGTAGAAGATTTTTGCGTTGAGGGGTTCGGTAGTCGGAGAAAAGTGTTATGAGATTCGCGCCGCCGCCAGCCTACCTTGAAGGCGTCCGTGGTTTGTTCTTCTCGTTTCAATGTATTAAAATCCAATGTTAGCCCTATCATTTGCGCATGCAAGGTAGGCAGGTTTGTTGATATTAGGTTAGTAACGGCTAGTGTCCGCTAAAATTGGTATCGTGTGGGTGGGTCAGGTCGTGAGTTTTTTTCTCGTTCTGCCATTTTTTTCTTTCTATCTACCTTTTTTTTTTTTTTTTCTTCATTTTACTTGAAAATTTCCTTCAATGTCTTTTTGATTGGCTCGAAGAATAAGCGCGCTTTTCAAACTACTCTTCTGGTAATGCGACAGCTCTACAGTTCTCGCAGAAATTACACAGTTTAATGGATTTTCGTGTGCAGCGCCCCGCGCCGGCACTAAACGCATCAATTAAGACAAGCTACACTGTTTCTATGAGAGTGCTTCCGTCCATGGCCTGACTTTCAGGGTGTGCTTCCTCCCGTGTTCGTGCTCCTCCGGAGCCGCTGTCCCAGCGGGGTCAGAGGGTACCCCACGGGAGACTCCGTCGTGTGAGACAAAGACCAGATTCTGTGACAACGCAGCATGCCCTTTCTATCGATGGGGGCCGCATAATGGTACAATCCGCCTCTGCACTCAGCCCCGCCGCCCGCAGAATCACTGACAGCACCGCCCCCTGTCAGCTCGTCGTTGAACCTGCTTCCTTGCCGCACCTGGCCCTGTCTGTCGTTACGCCCCAGCCCACCGGAATGACCGGCTCTCTCAGTCACGACACAGACCCCGCAAACTTGAACGATGATATACGTGATTTTAAAATCGCTTTTATTTCCACAAATATGTGACAGAAAATGTGAGCGATCAGATGTATCTATACTCGTTATATCGACGATTAGAGCTGGATTCTGGTTGCTCGCCAGAATCGTATTCAACTATTCGGGCAGCAGCCAGTTTGGAATACGATAGCGTCTGTACCAGGCAGGAATCAATCATGACATGCGCCTTGTGCATATGACTCGCTAAAACAGAGAGGCGCTAAACTCCGGGAGCTTGTGTTACAATTGAATTTGTTCGGGTGGCAAACCACAAGGTCGCAAATCGTATACACACTCCGCAAGCCGGCGGAAATTCCATACAGCGGGCGTTCTAAATAATTATGGGTGCCGCACCCTCAAATTTTGCTATCCAACAACGTTGCTGAGTGCAGGTTTTCTGAGGAAATTCGGCTCGCTATCAATCGTAGATTCCATCATCACGGAAACGCTCATAATTTTTCTGACATAAGTTCCCCCCCCCGCGCCCTCAAGTAACCTCAGAGATTAACTTTTTCAGAACCGAAATTTCACGCGTTCATGAAATCATCTGCGTCGCCCACTGCATAAAAAACCTCCACTTTCTCACCGATCGCGCTGATAGGAATCAGGAAGACGGGAAATATACTGGGATCCAGTTTGCATTCGAGGTGTTCGGGGACAGCATACATCTCGTGTTATTCGCCCGCTCTCTTCCCAGTAACAAAGTCGTCAATAGCTAAAGGAGGCACGATTACTGGAGACGTGCGGATAGCCGAAGAGCAGAATCCTCCCATGAACGCTGGGGTCATAACCGGAGCGCCATGAAGGCGACTAATGCGCAAAATCCTGTCCTCAAGCTCGGCCCGAGAAAGAGTCGCTTAGCGAAATAAGCCTGGGGGGGGCGTGTGTTTTGCCTTGGTCCAAATAGTTTAGGAGGAATTGGCGTCTTCCTGCGTCGCTCTGAGGTTGACCAGGTTCCGAGACAAAGTGCAAGTACTTGGGAAACTGTGGCCTCAGATGAGTACAAAACCACCGTGTGGTGAGTAAGCCAGCAGAGCAATGTCATCTTCAACGGATTGAACGAAGAGCGTTCCAAGATTATTTGAGCGCTACAAGATCGCAAGTCTCCATTTCTCCGTGGAAAAGGGCTCAACTTAATGAGCGATGGTGTGGCTGTTAAGACCCTTCGCGATCTTGGACTCTACCTCCTTGTTTCGTTCTACAGGTGGTCTGAGATCGACGTGGAAAAGTTTATTCTAGGTGGATATGGCAGAAAAAGAGGGTACAGGATGATCGCGTGAAAATCGCAGATGGTTTCAATGTAACGTAATTTCGGCGGTGAATCCCTTATGGTTTGAGGCACCTTTGAACGACTGAGTAGCTAGAGCTCGCTTTTGTTTCCGTTCACAAAGATTCCACAGGGTATCGGGTGAAGTTCTTTCGAAGACGAGTCGTGACGCCATTGTGTTTTCAGTCAGGAGGATCCCCCTCACTATCCTTGATTTTCGCCGCACGACGATGACGGCCTGTCATGCCGGTCGCTCCCGCGCCGCACAATGGACAATTGCATGGAAAAGAATGTGCAGTTAATCCGTCTGGCATGTATGCTAGAATTCAAAATCCAACCAATAGAGGATCAATGGGCCTTAATGTTATAAAGTTCCACAGCAAAGTAAAGCAAAATGGAACAGCCGAAAAGCTGAAAAGGTCGATCATCGGCGCCCAGACGAATTTCGATCCTACTGTAATAGCTAATTTGGCTACCAGCATTTCAAAACGTATTATTGTGTTCCTTATGATTATTGGGGGGTCATCCCATTATTGAAAATTCGTGACGTTTTTTCGTTATAGTAAAATCTCTCGACAAGTGATGTGTAGTCATATTTGCGAAACGGTGAAAATACGTTCTAAGGAAGATATATTTAAATAATTCTGAGACCTCGATGATTGTCTGAAATCAACGTAATAACTGGCATCAGAAGTTCTCTGCGTAAGTGGGGAGAACTGCCATTGGTCCAATAGCGGCCCAACCAAAGCATCAAGCCAAGCTTTGGAGATACAAAAAATTGGGGTGGACGCTTATAATTGTTAGTGAAACGGCAGTGTATTCTGTGTAATCAGAAGAACCATAACCTCACCGCCATAGGCATGAGCTGCGGCATCCCATCATTTAGGCGCCGAGAGTCCGATTCTGATGAGCGCAGTTACTTTGATCAGTGGTTAGTGTTCAACAAAGAGCGTCGATTTCAAGGTCTACACTTCGACA